TACGTCACGCAGAGTCTCTCTCGATAGGCTGCTGCATTTGCTGCAGAGCAACCAATAGGCGCGCGAGCTGTTTCGCCTATGTTTGCTTGCTGCTGCAAAGCGTTTTGCATTAATAAAAAATTAAAGGATAATTTTTGGCTTCAATATCTCGCGGAAAAGAGTTTTTCCCCTAGCGTAAAGCTATTACGCAGTACTCGTTCCCTCTCTAGAGAGAACCGAGGTTACGTTAGTAACCGAGTACGTTTTCTTTCAGAATCACAAGGACAATGTTCAGTCGGATAAAGAGAACAAAGAGTAGCTATTCCATGAGGAAACGTTAGTTAAGGTTTAGTTGGGAAAGTTCATGGTATTTTTAGTCTCACAATGGAGGATGTTTAATGTACCAGGAACACTTTAAGGTTGTGTATCCATTCCTACAAAATAGTTATCATGATGAACTAACTATACTTTTAAAGCCTTTTTAAATCTTGGTTTACATTTGTACAAATGCTAATTTATAGGCTTTGGAAATATTTTTTATAATAATAGATTCATTAAAAACTAACATGGACTAACGTTGACAATAGACAAAATGTCGTTGTTTTTTTGTTTTGTTTTTTTGTTCCCACTCTCTGACCCCCGAAGGCAGCTGCATGTATAATTTACACCCTGACTAAGACCCATTGGGGGAAGCGTTTAAATAATCCTATGAATGCATATAAAAAATTAAGAATCGAATCGAATTAATCGAATCGCATCGAATTTTAATGTGAATCGCATTGAATCGAATCTTTCTGAATTTGCAAAAATCGTTCTTGAATCGAATCGAAAACCTATGAATCGTGAATCGAATCGATTCGCTGCCTACCCAAAGATTCACAGCCCTACTGTAATGTGATTGGTTATTATGGCACTCGTGATCCAAGTTAGCCGTTACGCTTTTTCCAATGGTAGAGCCACAGACCATCGGATATTAATAAGACCATCTCTGTGTGTATAGTGTAAATACATATATATCGGATATGGGCCACTTTTAAAAGATGTCAGCTAGGTCGTCAAAAAAATTGGAAATTGTCAACAAATCGGAATCAGGCATCAAGACCTGCAGTGTAAATGCGGCCTTGTTGAACATTTCATTTACGAAATGCAGCAATACATACAACAACCAACATAATGCAACATCAGATCCACATTCATCAGTTGAAAAGTGAACACGTTTTTAGCACCACTGCACTTACTGACACTTATTTTCAGAAATGTCACGTTTTTTTCAATGAGACCGAGTTGGTTTTAAATGGGGTTTAAAAGCAGGCCATGTTTGGAGGTATTCGTTCATCACGATAATTAGGCTATATGGGCTCAATCGTCAATTACTGACCAGAATATGTGATCTATTTATCATTTCTTACTATGAAAAGATAAAAATTCAATGAAACTCCAAATGGCAGCAAATTTTTTTATTAATTTTTATACCAATTTATAGAGACATATAAAGAGAAACATTTGAAATACAATGAGAATTTATGCAGTGGGAGATCAGACAGAATCAAATCAGCGTTCGTAAAAATCACAAAACAAGGCACCAAATAAAAAGAAAGAAAAAAAGATGGAATTTCGTGTTTGCAAAACATAGTGCAATAACAATGTCGTTTAATAAAACTACTTAATTAAAATGTTCTACATTTAAAGAACATTTAAAAATGTAAAAATAAAGCAAATTCAAAAGAAAAGTAAAAAAAAGATCAACAGCAAAAAATGAATAATACCAACAGCACAGAAACACTTTGGCAGAATATAATATTTTACCATCAGAAAACAATGATCATATATTCCAAATAAATTAGTTCATAGGCAATACTGTTATCTAAAATCTTATATACATTTTTACAAAGGTGTATCAAAAGTATTTGTATGAAAACATATTTACACTTCTCATTTCATAATCACATTACACACAGATTTAACTTCCACACCACAAAAACATGCACTCTGAATGCACATATTAATATCCACACACACGCACGCACACACCCACCCCCCTCCCCCCTTCCCTCCACACACACGTGATATTTAATGCTCCTCTCTTATGAGGGAGTCTTCATTTGAAATCCTAGAGCGATGCTCTATCATATTAATGAGGTAACATCTGAATGCAGAATCTGTGAATGAACAGCTGGTCTTACTTCACACACTAATGAGAAAAAAAAATCTGTCCTTTTGTCTAAAAATGTATTCAAAGTATACAACACTCAAGACACCTTCATAATATTAAGTATAAAGGGGGAAAAAAGCCTCAGTGAGTGAATCTCACGAAACCTGACAAGAACACCTTCAGGTCATATTTCACCACAAAATCAAAAGAAAGAAATAACAAAATTAGATTTTAAATAAAGAAAACCAAGGACTATTAAGATTTGTTGCAATTGACAAATCAACACATTTGCCCCTGGTAATTCTCATTTTCATGACAATCTACTTATTACTGTATGAAATCAATGAAAATTGTATTCATTCAAATTGTATGTATCATGATAGTATTTGTTTGAGGTTAAGTACGATTTAGAAAAGAAATGAATAAGATTAAAATAAGATATAACATTATTATCAAATAAATGTTCTTTTGAACTTTCTATTCATCGACGAATCCTTAAAAAACATTTATCACAATTTCCCACTGTTTTCAACATTGATAATAATCAGAAATGTTTCTTGAGCAGCAAATTATCATATTATAATGATTTCTGAAGGATCATGTGACACTGAAGACTGGAGTAATGTGGCTGAAAATTCAGCTTTGCATCACAGGAATAAATTACATTTTAAAATATATCCAAATTGAAAACAGTAATTTGAAATTGTAATAATATTGTCAGATTTATCAGAGAGGCAATCTTTCAAAAAAAAAAAAAAATCTATATGCAAATGATCTTTCTTTTCATTTTAGGGTGAAATGTGACCCAGACAACAACTAGAACCCAATCCGATTCATTTCAGCTACTATTTCAACATTTATTGACAATGTAGCCCTCTAAGAAATCTCTCTTTCCAAAGCCAATCTTTATGCATCACATCCTGCTTCAACCCACTGTACATAATGTCACTGCAAGGCAAGCAAGATGCATTTTTTGTTTTCAACCTTTTTCTTATGCCAATTGATCAACTGAAATCCCATCCGTCTCTATACCATCTCCCTGAGACAAAACGAAACATTCCCACAGCACACGACAGGAGAACGCAGAGGAACCCCTGTGTCAAAAACAACCGCACGAATAAATGTCCAGCATTTGGAATGTATGGCCTTTCAGAGCGTCTTTAAAGGTCGCTACGTCTCTTACAGTGAGGCATGAGCACTAGATCTGCTGAGAAGGCTGTCTGCACATATGCCAGTCTGGGATACTTTTTTTTACGACGTTAACGTGATTCTAATGTGTTTAGACGCTAACATAGTGCTTACGTAACCTTTAGCTCAGCGCCTGTAGCTATGCTAGACCCTTGGGGCGACTATCAGCTTATGTTCTCCCCGTTTCTCCACTCAGGAGATAAACAACAACATGAAAGATGAATGCAAGTGGGCGGCGCGGCAAACCTGTTCCGCACGCAACAACCCCAATAACAGAAACAGACGTGTGAAATTCAGAAATGACAGCTGGTGTACGAGTAGCAAAACTCAGAATGAAGCAAACGCACCAAGAAAAAGTGGATAATATTGCTGAAACCGACAAAAAAAAAGATCCATTTTTGTATTGAAATCTTTCTTTGTTTACATCTCATTTTTTAATAGTTCTTAGGTTCTAACTTGACAATCTAAAATGTATTTCGTCAAAGTGAATAATGCATATTTTATTATAAATTAGTATTAAAGTGCTCCTATTATGCTTTTTTTTTAAATATTCCCTTTCATGCATGCAATATAGCTGTTTGTGAATGTAATAAGTCTGCAAAGTGTTAAAGATCAAAATGGACGACAGATAAAGTTATTGTCTCCTAGAAAAAGAATCGATTCTGAACTGCTGAAACTAGTTGTAAGTAATTCCAGTCTCACTTACTGTTACATATATGTAACAATATAACACATTTGCATAATGCCCGCAAATGACGTCTACTTTGACCCGCCCACGAACACTGTAGTTGTAGCTGAGGTCTGGTAGAGTTTGGGTTGTGTTGTCACATGTCGAGAAGACGCTGTTTTCAGGCGATGCGAAGCCACTTTGAATGCACTTCAGAAAGACTCGTGCTGGAATTGATACAAAAAAACCTATGCCATTGTTTGTATCTCTGTTTATCATCAGAGGTGAAATTCAGTTATGGTAATAGGCGTTTTGTTTCCGACATGCGCTGTGAGCTGTAGACCAATCACAACAGACTGGGCCGTCTGACCAATCAGACCAGAGTAAGCTCTTAGTAAAGAGGGGTTTAGCGAGACTGACTACGTTTACATGCAGACAATTTTCGGGTTATGGTCGGGTTAAGGTCACTATTCGGGTTTCTGAAACATTAGGAATAACCCGTTTACATGCGTGAGCAGAGAGAGTTTCTCCTGTATACATGGAATTGCAATATCCCGATGTAAACGGCGACGCACGGTTAGCGTTAAGATGTACGGACAACCTTAAGACGCACTGCGTCATTTCCGATTCTTCTTCCTGTATCCAAAGACAACAACAACAGCAGCAGCACGCGGATAATGAATAGTTTGGGGCAGATAGCGATCGCCTTTGTTTGCGCTTTGGTGCTGGTACTGACCTCGCTCCAAAAGTATGCTGTGCTGCGTCCATGTTTACTTCCGGTATACTGCACGCGGGTTTTTGTATGCGCCGAGAAGTTCCTCTACTCAAAAGACCAAGATTCCCTGCGAATAGAACATGCGCAGAACACAAATCACTATGGGGATATGCCGATGCGCGTTTACATGACCAAAAATTCGGGTTAGAAAAGGGCTACCCCAGGTATCATATCCCGGTTTTTAAAATCCGGGATATGAGCATATTCGGGTTTTTGCAGGTGTTTACATGTATTGACTC